CCTCCTGAGCTGAGCCTCTCACACACCTTAGGCTGATCTACTAATCAGGAGGACCACAGTATTTAAGCTGCCTTCAGACCTGGATTCGACGCCGCAGTGTTGATCTTAGTTGGTTAGCTTCCTGAACCTCTGTTACAGAAGAATCTTTGCTATCTCTATTGTGAGATCAGAATCTAACTCTTCCTTGTCTCTGCCTCACAGGAATCCTGTCTCTTCGTGAAAGCTCTGGATGAGCTTAACCTCCTGTCTCTTCGTGAAAGCTCTGGATGAGCTTAACCTCCTGTCTCCTCGTGAAAGCTCTGGAAGAGCTGTCTCTCTGGCAACCTGTCTCTGGTCTGCAGCTCTGGGAGAGCTGCATCACAGGAAACCAGTCTCAAGCCTGAAGCTCTTGGAAAACCTAACCTGCTAAGCTGCCCTGGTGAGCCAACCCAAAGATTCCTACGTGGTTGAAACCTGACGACCCCTATGTGGAGTTTCCCTAGAGGTTCCCATGTGGATTTCCCGTGTCTTCCCCAGTTGTTCTCTGAGCTGAGCTGGAAGCTCAGATCCTAGTTAGCTTTGCTAAGCATACAGCTAGAGGCTTAGCCCCTCATGAACTCTGTTAACCAACCATCTCCCTTTCCCTGCTCAGACCCCAGTGAACCAGCCCCCCGGACTGAACTGTTCCAGTTAATTTCATGTGCTTTGTCTTAAAATAAAACTCCTTGGACTTTTACCAGTGCCTCTGTGAGTGTTCTGCATCTTGGGCTTTAACTAGAGAAAACCCATCATGACAGGATCACTTACTATAACGAGAGCTTTTATAAGTATAGCTTAAAAAATGGAGGTGTAAAATTGTTTCTTTTGCACAAATGAACTATTTTTTATAGAAAATTAATATATGTTGAAATATGAGAATTGCACTCTTTGTCTGATTACATAATTTTAAACATTCAATACGATGTTAAAAAGACAAAAATTACTCAGTAGTTGATGTGGCATTTTAATAACTACTTTTTAACTTGTACTTGAGGTATTTCTTGAATGACTTCTTTCTAAATTTAAGTGTATTTACCCTTAATTTGAGTGGGTAAATGAGATAGTTTGCCAATGGCATGATTATTTTTAGTCTTAAACTAAGATAATTACATAATAGGCTCTTAAAATGAGACAATGCAATTGTGTTTTCTTATTTTAAGACATTTTTTACTCATTTTTAGATTGTTTTTGCAGTGTAGGTGCTGTTGCTTTAACATTTTAAAAGCTCATTGTCTCTTAACCAGTGATGGGACTAACGCGTTGAAAGACATGTTTCAGTAACGAGTAATCTAACTAATTAATTTGACTGTAACTATAACGCAGTTACCATTGCAGGCACCCCGTTACTGCGCGTTACTGAGGTCGCTCAATGAACCTTTTTTCATGATAGGACTCGTGCGCAGCTGCGTGAAGCTGACACCCCACCCACGTCAAAAAACTCTGCAAATAGACTGAATGGTTAGTGCAACGTTAGTGAAGATTTGTGCAGAAAAAAATATTGTTTGTGCTACTTTTGTTTAAGAGATATTAAAGATTATTTTTTAGGTCATCCAGAGGTGCGCGCCTTGTCATGAGAGAGGGGAGGATGAGAATGGCTGATGTATAGTGAGATTCCGTCTGTCAGTTGGGTAGGTGGGTGTTTCTGCTGGCGGGTGTTAACGTACAGCACACACAGAGAGATGGAGAGTGAGGAGGACTCCAGCAGCAAAACAGCGTTTTCCGCATGGAAATACCGGTGTTACGTCGAGCTGCGTTTCCCCATCACATACGGTTTCCTCTGCATCTCCGCACAGCGCAGGCGGCAAGAGTCACCGAGCAAGCGACAGGAAACGCGCATCTATAACAACCCAAACACACAGGATTTCAGAATTAGACATCCCCAGTTATTAATTTCACCAGATCTGATTGCCCTGTCAAAAAACTTCACATGGCGTTCCCCCCTGATGTCATTTACGTTCTCTGCAGGTTCTTGTCTTTGTCGTCCGCTCTATTCAGCTGGCTTTGGAAACACACGGCGAGAAGGTGGGGGCCGGGTGGTGAGGGTTACAGGGGCGAGAAACGCAAAAGTAACGCAATAGTTACTTTTACTAGTAACTAGTTACTTTTATTGTGGAGTAACTCAGTTAGTAACTCAGTTACTTTTTGGGAGAAGTAACTAGTAACTATAACTAATTACTTTTTCAAAGTAACGTGCCCAACACTGCTCTTAACAGCCAGTTTGAGAAGAAAACTCAACTATTTAACCTGCTATCGTTAGCATGTTACACACGAGATCCTCCATAAAGAGCTAACAGGACGAAAGGTTTTATATTCCGGGCAATAAGAACTTCAAATCCATTAAATGGTTTTTAAGTTTTCATTCAATTAAGGGCTAGAACTAATGATTATTTAGCAAATCGATTAATCAGCCGATTATTTTTTTGATTCATCGATAAATAATTGTATAGCCAAATATTCTTTAAAGAATATTTTAAAGAAACTAAAACTTTTCCACCTGTGGAGTTCTTGACAGACGAAAACGTTTTGTTTTTTAAATCTTGAATTCAAAATGTTTACATATGTTTTTACAATCTTGGTATAAATCCTGCTCTAAGTGGGTTCCTCTGTCAGCTAAAGGCATCTTTTACAGTCTATATATTCCAATTAATGATTAATTGATTACTAAATTAGTTGACAATTATTTCAATAATCAATTATTCATGATTAATCCAATTAATGCAATATTTCCTAAAGTACATGTAAGATAAAAGAGAAATATCTCACATAATATAAAGGGGAACCAATGTTATGGAAAGGACAGCTAACTGACTTTTCATCTCCCTGAACTTTCCAGTGACTGTGCTCTTTTTCATCCTGCATAATGAGGTGAAGGGAGACCGGAGTGACGTTCCACCGAGCCCTGGCTGTGCTGCAGACCAACGCTTGAATATTTAAACACTGAAGCATTATTTATTATTATAGCGGTGGGCTGAGTGCATATCACGGTCTGTAACAGTATGTAGAGCACCTAGAAAAGCACTTCAGAAATCCAGCCTGTCATTATATCACAAACCCTGATGACAGAGGGTCGGTGTGGGCTTCTGGAGAAGCACTCGGGGAGAACGCCACTTGCCGACATGCAGCAGTGAAGATCTTTCTCTCGTTCATGCCAGGAAAGCTGAGTGGTTCAGCAGAGCGTCAGGTTTGCTCTCAGATGGTACTCAGGTGGATGTCTTGCTTTTAGTGTTTTTTTTCACAAGTCATCTTGAATTAAAGATGAACTGAGATGAATGAGCAGACATCTTGGTTTACCTGCAAGTATCCATTAGAATATTAAACTTATTATTCAATCATCTCTGACGTGGATCAACGCTTTGCCTGAATATCTGAATATTTGACTCCAATCTTTGCTGTATTTTATGGTGGAATGTTTGTTTGGTTCTTTGTAATAAATATGCAGTTGGCTCTGTGCACGGCAACAACGATCTAAAAGTAATAAGTCAAAAATTTTTAAATTAAGTGTATTTACCCTTAATTTGAGCAGGTACATAAGAGGATCTGGCAATACAATTAGTATTTTTTTCTCTTCAAATAAGATAATTAGATAATATGCAATTGAAATAAGACAATGCAATTGTTTTTTTCTTATTTTAAGTGTAAATTGTCTTGTTCCATTGGCAAAGTGTCTCACTTACCTCCTCAATTCAAGAACAAATGCATTTAAAACAAATACTTATTTAGATTTACAATGGAAAAAAAAATCTAGAAATCTAGATAAGTCATTTTTTCTTAAATTAAGTGCATTTTTTTAATTGAGGAGGTAAGCAAGACACTTTGCCAATGGAACAAGACAATTTAAAATAAGAAAAAAAGTGTATATTATCTAATTACCTTATTTTCAGAGTACAAATCCCCATAATCCTCCTCAAATTAAGAGTAAATACAGTTAATTTAAGACATTCTGACTTATTATTTGATCATTTTTGCAGCAGAGATTGTTTTCAGTGTGGAAACAGGTCCTGCACTGGAAAAATGATCTAGCAAATAATTAAAAAAATCTTAAATGAAGTGTATCTACCCTTAATTTCAGTAGTTAAATCAGATAGTTTGCCAATTTCTTTTAGTAGTAACGAGTATTTTTACTTGTTACTACTTTAATATGCACTTGAAATAAGACAATGCAATCATTTTTTCTTACTTTAAATGTAAATTGTCTTGTTCTATTGGATAAATGTATTTTACTTCCTCAATCCACGAATAAATGCACTTATTTTAAGGAAAAAATGACTTAGCTAGATTTTAAATTATTCCAGTGTGTTAAAACTGTATTTCCTGATCCAGCTGAACAGAAGCCAGAGAAAAAAAACCCAGCAAGCCTTCTTCACCTCTCCTCTTCCCTTGCCTGCTGTTTCCATAGCGATACTTTTCTCCAGCTACAGTCCTTGTCTTGTTGTGCTTCTCTCTTTTCTGACTTTGTGATTTTTTTAAATAATTTTCTCTGTTCCCAGACTCTGTGGACTTCAACTTCTTAAGCCCCAAACCAAAGTGGGTGAAATCCTCGGACACATCCCTGCTCGGTGCACGTTAACATCACATGAACTTTGTGGTGGAACTTCCTCGTTCTGGCATGCATTGATCATCATTTTGCAGAGAAATGAAAGCTCGGTTCAGACATTGTGAGTGCCTGCAGAAATGGAAAGTTACAGCATGTTTTGAGGGAGTGATGCCCATCTGTGTGATCCAGAGTGAGGAGAAGCAGCCAAACAGAGGCAGAGCATTTTAGTGTCGTGACCAAGGATAGTGCTAAGCCATACTCAAAGAGATACAGCTGCTGCATAGCTCGGTGCAACCAGAGTTACAGTAGCTCATCACCATACAACAGCTCAACTCTAGACTCCATCAAATAACATTCCTAACAGACTCAGGCAGGAGACACTGGAGACGCAATGAGGCACTAACATCCTCGATTTACTCCCTGATCTGGACAGCAGTGATGCACTTACCCAGTGTCTTCTGGAGCTGACAGGTTTTCTATGAAGCTCCTTAGGCACAGCTCCCGCACGTCCCATAAGCCCGTTCATGTGGGGTCTCCCTCGGAAGCCTCCTGCCAGAATGAGAGCTTTGCTGGTTCATCAAATCCGGGGATGTCATCCTCACTGGGGAGAAAGTAAAGCTGATAGAGGAGAGAGATGCACTGTGGCAGTTTAGACGACTGCGAGGCGGTGAGAGTGAGCGCAGATTCCTGCTCACAGAGAGAAATGAGGGAGGGCGAGGAGGAATGGAGAGAAGTTGCATTGTAGAGTAATGCAGCAAAACATTGACTGTTTACTGAAAGGGCTCATGTTTGTCACCCTTACACCCACCCCCTCCGCCTCTCCTGCTGTCTTTAAATGTCACAGCTTCCACTGATCATATGTAGCTTGACAAAGAAAATAAACTCTTATTTCACTTCATTCAAAGTCTTCTAATAGAGGATTTTATTGCTTTCTGGACGAACAGAAAGAAGCACAGTATGTCAGATGCTCTGTAATGTACCTGCTCAGCTGGCTTTCCTTACATAGAAAACTTTGAAGCAATCTGACTGGATGATCTGGTTAAATTATCTCTATAAAGTGCCTTCAGATGACATGTGTTGTGATTTGGCACCATATGAATAAATTCAATTTCAATTCAGTTTATTTCTACAGTTCCCCAGATCATCCAGTATAATTGATTAAGTTTTCTATCTAAGGAAAACCAGTTGATTGCATTGACGCATTGACTGGAAGGCAATCCCTCATAGTAACCATGCTTGTAACGAGAGTCGAGAGGAAAATATGTCTTTTAACAGGAAGAAACCTGTTAAATAAACTGAATTAATCAAATAAACTGAATTTACATTTTAGTATCATGACTACTCTAGCTGCTATTGGTTAACATAGTCACATAATGATAAAAAAAAACATTTTTTAAGTCAGTTCAGAGATTAATTACAACCAGTCTCATATTTTCACCTTTTCATTTCTGTTGTTTATGATAATTTCCCAGTTTAGCTAAAAAGGGCATATTTAAGATTACGAACTAATATCAGACCAAAGGATGATACAGTTCCCAAAAATTTTACCCAAGTAAAGGAAACACTTCTTTATCATATTCTTATTTAAGTAAGAGTTAAAAAGTATTTGATAAAAAAGCTATTATGCAGGCTTACTGAGTAACTGATCATAGCATCTGATATTATATATCTCGTCTGTTCCTGGACTCCATCTTGGAGAGAAATATCAGCTGTGCTGCTGCCATCAACACCTTTGTTTCTAGATGTTGGAGATCAGCCTGTTTTTCAGTGTAGTCCTGTTTCTCTGACTGTGACTAACTGGAAGTGCTAGCTTTCATTCTCAGACATGGGAGCTGGCTGGGAGCTCGTCTGCCTGGCTGTGTGTTTCCTGGACTGTTGCCTTTTGTATCTATGCTTCTTTTTCTATGTCTGCTTCTGTCTCCTTGAACCCCAGTGGGCCTCAGCAGATGGCCGCTCACACTGAGCCTGGTTTTGCTGGAGGTTTCTTCCTGTTCAAAGGGAGTTTTTCCTCTCCACTGTCGCTACAAGCATGCTTAGTGTGAGGGATTGCTAATGAGTCGATGCAGTCAGCTGGTTTTCCCTAGATGGAAAACTTTAAATTAATCTGACCGGTGAACTTTAAAGTGCCTTGAGATGACATGTGTTGTGTATTGGTGCTATAGAAATGAACTGAATTGAATTGAATATTTTAAATGATAGATTAACGACGAATCAAAATGTAAAGTTAGATGCTAATTCTGGCATTTTGAGAGCTATTATAAAATAAGTAAAACAAACAAATAAAGTAATTTAAAAAAATCTATTCCAGGCCAAATAAATAATTATTATTTCTAAACCGCTTTTCTTTTGACATAAAACATATGAAATCAATGAAACCAGTTCCTTCATTATTTACTTCTTACTGAGTATTAGAACTTTACATGTTTGGGTAGTTTTAAGTCAGCTTGTATACAAAAAAACAAAAAAAACATTAATTGTGTTATTGTTTGTTATTCAGTGAAGTTACTCACAATGGATGAAGAAGCCAATCAAGTACAAGTGGCAATATTTGATAAAGATATTACTCAAGTTAAAATAAACGATATAGTGCAGCAAACTACTCTCAAATGTATGATTTTGTGAAAAAAATACTAAAGTAACTGTAACTGAGTAGATGTTACAACTAACTACCCACCCCTCCCCTCTTTCCTGTTCCTCTTTCCTCTTTTATTTTCTTTCCAATCAGTGCATTAGGTTGTCTTTTATTTTGAAGGGACAGCTGTCCGCCTCAAGAAGAAAATGTACAATACAGTACATTTAAAGTATATTAATGCCTAATCAACTATTTTGCAGATAGACTTGGCCTTAATGGTGCTATCTTATTGTGCAAATGTTCATATTTTCTGAATAACTGTGTCTACTTGTATAACAGAGGTCACGGATTAGTGGAACACGGTCCGGATCCGGACCTAGCAGCTGGCTAATCCCGGGCCCAACGTGATTTAATGCATTTATAAATTACCTTGGGTGCAACTTAAACTCCATCAGATTCATCACAAGAGTAAGTAAAAAAACAACAACCTTTGTCTAGTGCAGCGAAGATGGCTAATTGGAGTCTGATTGGCTGTGCGTGACAAACACTGGTGTGATTTCCACATATTGCCAGAGGCTCTGCTCCTTTTAATGTTTGTTTTCATCAAGCTGTTGGTTTAACATTTTTGTCTTTTCCCAGGGTCATTATCATGGTTTCATGGTCCAATTATCTATGCCTCTGGATTAATATACGCAAAATGTAGCATAAAGCTGATGAGTCCCCTCCCATTAAGGATTTATGGAATAAAATAATTACAGCTGAAAAAGACTGCTTGCTCTGTCATCGCCAAAAAGGTTACCTGTTGTCTGAAACATACCATGAGACACAGTCTTCATGTTAATAGACCCCAAGTGACCAAAGACAGATGAGTTTGAAGTTCTACTCATATTAGGACCCTATATTAGCTGCCATTCTTTTCAGTTGCTGTCTTTATTCCTAACCTTAACCCTGACATATCCCCTAACCCTGACATTGCCTAGCCCTGACATTTCCCCTAACCCTGACATTACCTAACCCTGACATTTCCCCTAACCCTGACATTGCCTAAACCTGACATTGCCTAAACCTGACATTTACCCTAACCCTGACATTGCCTAACCCTGACATTGCCTAACCCTGACATGTACCCTAACCCTGACATTGCCTAACCCTGACATTTCCCCTAACCCTGACATTGCCTAACCCTGACATTGCCTAAACCTGACATTTACACTAACCCTGACATTGCCTAACCCTGACATTTCCCCTAACCCTGACATTGCCTAACTCTGACATTGCCTAACCCTGACATTTACCCTAACCCTGTCATTGCCTAACCCTGACATTTCCCCTAACCCTGACATTGCCTAACCCTGACATTTACCCTAACCCTGTCATTGCCTAACCCTGACATTTGCCCTAACCCTGACATTGCCTAATCCTGACATTGCCTAACCTTGACATTTCCCCTAACCCTGACATTGCCTAACCCTGACATTTACCCTAACCCTGTCATTGCCTAACCCTGACATTTACCCTAACCCTGACATTGCCTAACCCTGACATTGCCTAACCCTGACATTTACCCTAACCCTGACATTGCCTAACCCTGACATTTCCCCTAACCCTGACATTGCCTAAACCTGACATTGCCTAAACCTGACATTTACCCTAACCCTGACATTGCCTAACCCTGACATTGCCTAACCCTGACATTTACCCTAACCCTGACATTGCCTAACCCTGACATTTCCCCTAACCCTGACATTGCCTAACCCTGACATTGCCTAAACCTGACATTTACACTAACCCTGACATTGCCTAACCCTGACATTGCCTAACCCTGACATTTCCCCTAACCCTGACATTGCCTAACTCTGACATTGCCTAACCCTGACATTTACCCTAACCCTGTCATTGCCTAACCCTGACATTTCCCCTAACCCTGACATTGCCTAACCCTGACATTTACCCTAACCCTGTCATTGCCTAACCCTGACATTTACCATAACCCTGACATTTGCCCTAACCCTGACATTGCCTAACCCTGACATTGCCTAACCTTGACATTTCCCCTAACCCTGACATTGCCTAACCCTGACATTTACCCTAACCCTGTCATTGCCTAACCCTGACATTTACCCTAACCCTGACATTGCCTAACCCTGACATTTACCCTAACCCTGACATTGCCTAACCCTGACATTTCCCCTAACCCTGACATTGCCTAACCCTGACATTGCCTAAACCTGACATTTACCCTAACCCTGACTTTGCCTAACCCTGACATTGCCTAACCCTGACATTTACCCTAACCCTGACATTGCCTAACCCTGACATTTCCCCTAACCCTGACATTGCCTAAACCTGACATTTACACTAACCCTGACATTGCCTAACCCTGACATTGCCTAACCCTGACATTTCCCCTAACCCTGACATTGCCTAACCCTGACATTGCCTAACCCTGACATTTACCCTAACCCTGTCATTGCCTAACCCTGACATTTCCCCTAACCCTGACATTGCCCAACCCTGACATTGCCTAAACCTGACATTTACACTAACCCTGACATTGCCTAACCCTGACATTGCCTAACCCTGACATTTCCCCTAACCCTGACATTGCCTAACTCTGACATTGCCTAACCCTGACATTTACCCTAACCCTGTCATTGCCTAACCCTGACATTTCCCCTAACCCTGACATTGCCTAACCCTGACATTTACCCTAACCCTGTCATTGCCTAACCCTGACATTTACCATAACCCTGACATTTGCCCTAACCCTGACATTGCCTAACCCTGACATTGCCTGACCTTGACATTTCCCCTAACCCTGACATTGCCTAACCCTGACATTTACCCTAACCCTGTCATTGCCTAACCCTGACATTTACCCTAACCCTGACATTGCCTAACCCTGACATTGCCTAACCCTGACATTTACCCTAACCCTGACATTGCCTAACCCTGACATTTCCCCTAACCCTGACATTGCCTAACCCTGACATTGCCTAAACCTGACATTTACCCTAACCCTGACATTGCCTAACCCTGACATTGCCTAACCCTGACATTTACCCTAACCCTGACATTGCCTAACCCTGACATTTCCCCTAACCCTGACATTGCCTAACCCTGACATTGCCTAAACCTGACATTTACACTAACCCTGACATTGCCTAACCCTGACA